GTCCCTTGCGAATCAACCCAGAAACCTGGTAATTTGTCCTTTCATTCATCTGGCCATGTAAGTCAGTGACGTATCTAGATGTCTTGAAATGGGGGAAGGAAGGTGGGGGCTGATGGGGAAGCGCGAAGGTGAAATGGGGGGGGGGGGGCTCGATGATCAGTTGAGGGGGACTAATTCGCAAAATAATGTGATTTTTAACTACTTGGCCATGATTTGAAACCAGTGTCAGTATATCTTAGGTAAGCATGTGGTTAATATAAGCAAGAATTTAGTCCAACGAAAATGTTTATCATCTTGATACCTTCCGACGAAAATTGACCCTACTGGCGTCACCACCGACCGATCTAACGCGACGTTGTTATGTGGGTGTTTTATAGATTATTGAGAATTTTAATATCACCGAAAAATCGGTAGATAAATTGACAGTTGAATGACCAACAAAGACAACTGAAGACAATATAAAAGTTCTTCATTAAGAAGTTATTTAGTATAACTTTATTAGGAAAATTAATCTCAAAATCGAGTTGCCGTCCCCATTCGTTGTCAGTGACGTCGTAGGCCTATTTGTGTGCGATTTTTACCCCTAAGTAAAAAATAGTTGAGCCATGTAGTACCTTGCAAATCAACCCAGAAACCCGGTAGTTTGTTGATTGTTTATCAATTAACAAACGCTGCCAAAAATAGCTTTTTGGCAGTTGCGTCCCCTGGTAACATCGTGAGGGCATTCTTAAGGCTGGTACGATTGGGTAATCCTGTGCAGGCTTAGCTGTACGCCTAGCCCTATTTAACAGGCAGGTCAACTCGGCCGTTAACCAACTACCGACTCGGTATGGTCCGAGTGATCAGGCCCGTAGGCAGGATTTTCAATGGGGAGGTGCGTTTTGCAACGATGGGCGACGGCCTATGGATCCCCGCGAGGGTGGGGCGAAGCTTCTGGAAGCTCTGACAAATTAGCATTTTGAGGGCCTTTTTTAATGGATTTCTAAAATCCATAATTTGTAATATCCTATTTAAATTTTCATTCATTATTAATAACATGTCCTGTACATCGGCAGGCCTATAGATAACATTCTTCATATTATATAGATCAATCTGCAATCACCGGAGACGATCAACTTCTAACAAATTTCATACCACATTATTAAAAATCAATGGTTAGATAAGCTGGCAAATATATAATGCAATGCATGCTATAGCATTTTGTGATATCAGGAACGATTTTGTGAAATCATAGGTTTTAAAAAGTGGACCTTTTGGAATTTGTGGGGGGGGGGGTGCGTCCGCATGCCCTCTGCACCCTCCTGCCTACGGGCCTGGTGTCGGTTAAGGGCCGAGTTGTATTGAAGCCGATTTAACTCATGAACGGTCATTCAAAATTATCATAATAAGACAGGTGTTTTCTTCCAAAACAATTCGATGCACATTTAAAAAAAATAAATACACGATCTCTTATACAAGAAACGTTGTTTGATGCTTCGATCACTTGGCAAAATAAACCTTGGTTATAGACTAGGCCTACAATATTGTTACATGGAGTATGGAATTCTATACTCTTGAGTGTTACAAAAGTGACTAACTTAAATAAAATATAATCTTCATATACACAAGACCTATTGTAGCCTACTTCAAAAGGGTTCTCGAAGCATAGATTGAGAAAACATTAAAATTCTTCAAATAAACACAAACAAATCGAAGCTAGAACACTCGAGACGCACAGTAGGGAACATTTTGAAAATGTTTGCGTCAATGTGATTGGTCCACAGTTAATGAATCATGCTCATGTTTAACACTCAATATTGAAAGTATTGTCTTGGAGAAGCACGCGACAAACAAAACAGTGAAATAAATACAGGGCTAAAGGTAGATTCACACCGAAACAAAATAAGAAAATCGAATAGTGGTAAAGAATAGGCACGTACTAGACGGGCATCGAAAACGTTCTACGAACTTCGGTTCCGATCGGGCTTAAAGACCTGTTTAACCTTGCAACGATAACGATAAATAGCTAAAAAGCAATTGTTCATATAGAAAATATAAGAAATAAGAGAAGTTTTTTACACTAGGACGATTCGATAACGATTTATCGTGTATACGATAATTAAATCGACAAATCAATTCAACTGACGTCATAATCATAAAAAGGATGGAATCCTAGTAGTAACAACTAGCGGGGGTCCAGGGGAAAAGACCCCCCGTCGATGACCTCTAGACCCCCGCTTCGACCCCCCCCCCACTGTCGGGGAATTTTCAGCAAGGTCGTCGGGGAAAAATCAAATCTCGAGAGCCGAAAGTACAATTTTGAAGCATGCCTTACCATGGCCTATACACAGGTAAACCAAGGTTTGCTTGATGTTACTAATAACCTTCTAACTCAAATACAGCACGAGTGTTCGCGTGGAGAATTAGGGGCGGATCCAGAGATGTCCAAAAGGGGGGACCGAAAGGGGGAGGGGGCTGAAATTTGGGCCGATCGAGACAACACTGAAATAGGAGGTCCGGGGGCATGCCTCGCGAAATTTCTGTGTTTTAGACGCCCGAAAATAACATTTGAGGCGTTCTGGGCTATCATTTTTTCTTCTTTTTCTTTTTTTTTTTCTTCTTTTTTTACCTCCCCAAAAGGGTGGGCCGGACCCAGTCTGCACACCACCCCCCCCCCCCCCTGAGAATGTATTCTCGATCTTGCGTTTACCACATTTCCAGATAAGATTAGAAAAATAGAGATTGTCCCAGGCATATTTGACCATGACGCCGTTGCAATAGAACTCGATACTGTTATTAAGCATAGCCGGAATTTTTTTTCTGTGGAAAAAAGGGGACATGGATTGGTTAAGAAATGGGGCAGCTAAAAGAAAGCTTTTCACATTCAGACCAATTGGACGTATTTTAAAAGCGAAATTAGTAAAATCACTGATGAATTCGTTCCACATATAAGAACCTCTCGTCCTGGCTAAACGTACCATGGCTACCTGCATCCACTAAGAAACTCACTAGGAAGAAAAAACGTAAATGGAATAAAGCTAAAAAAAAGTAATAATAAAAATGAATTTAACAGTTACAAAGTTACAAAACGGTAAAAGGGTGTATGAAAAGGGGGTATGACGAATACATAGAAGGTATTTTTAAAAACACAACACACAAGTCACAGAAGAAGTTCTGGAGCTTTATCAAAGACCGAAAGAAAGACTGTTGCGATATACCAACTATACAAACAGATCAGGGGATAGCCATCACAAGTCATGAGAAAGCTCAGTTTTGGGACCTTTCATGTTTTTACTGTATATCAATGACAGGTGTAAATTTAAAATCACCGAAAATTAAACTATTTGCAGACGACTGCTTATTATACAGAACTGTTGCCTCCCACGAAGATGCGGATGCACTTCAGGATGACCCATGCTTTCTAGAGCAGTGGGCTAGAAAATGGCAAATGTCATTTAATGCAAAAAAATGCTATTTATTGAGAATAAACCGAAAACAAAACCCTGAGATATAAAGTTTTAATTATATTTATTATTATCAACCTGGATAGATGAATCTACATCAGTCAATAATAATAATAATAACAATAACAATAATAATAATAATAATTATAATAATGATAATAATATACTGATGATTATAATAATAATGATAACGGCGATGGTGATAAAGGATGGAATAGAGATTTGGCCAGTATGGCAACTTCTTAAAAGAAACAGCAAATCCCATATAAGGAAATTTTACCGTACAGCTATGACTTACGGAGCTGAGACATAGACATTAACACAACCTCTTACACTGAATTATGCCAGTGAGCCAAAGAAATATGGAGAGGTCTATACTCAACATCACTAGACTCGAATAATGGCAAAATGAGGACGTATGAATTTAATGGCTAAAGATGTCTGTGAAACAGTTGCATATCTAGGAGCCTTGAAGGGGAGGGGGGGAGTGAATTTGAAGTTGTGGGTGGAGGGCCCGTCGATTTGGTGAGAAATTAGGGTGATTTGTGGCTTTTTATTGGGGGGGGGGGGGGGGGGACAATTTTTTTTAGGGTCCACCCAGCGCACACCTAGGAGGCCACTCCTGCGTTTTCTGGGAGACAAGAAATGAGTGTTGAAATCTCCACTCCTCGCAGTGATGATTTAAATTATGAAAATGAAATTAATAACCCATCAAGACTAACGTTGGAAGTAGTAATACAAGTTTATTTAAATAAAACCTGGCACTGTCACCAATAGTAACCATCACCGTACTTAAAAAATCATTAAACAGAGAAACCGATTATAATGTATAAATCATATTACATATACATTCCGGTAATACTGCAGGCCTAATCTAGTGTTTGAATTTGAAATAATCTTGATTGGTAACAATTCACAGGTCGATGAATTTAGACGAATTTGTTTGATACATTATACAATGCTATGCCAAATTGCATGCATTTATTTTTTAATTTTTCACAACTGAAGTTGACACTCTAGTCTCACAGGCCAAGTGTCTATCACTAACCCCAACTTTTAGGCATAAAAAAAATACGCTAATAAAATATGCTAAAATACGATGGAAAGAAACCACATTTGAAAGAAATTCATAAACTACAGTGTTTCCTATCAAGAAATTGGTCCGAAATTTTCATTTGTTAAAATCATATCTATTCGGTGGATAATAACTCACAACAAAATATATCTACTACAAACAGTATACTGATATTAAGGTGACGAACATGCTAAAATGTACTCTAAACAATATACTATGGTGAAAAATCTTAAATAAACTACATACTAGAATAAATAAACCACATAATCGTTTGAACTTATTTAAATTCGCGTATTTATACACCGAAACGGAGTGAAGTAACAAGAATTAGCACTTCTGATTTGTCAGAAAGCACACACATAAATGACACCGACGAATCGGTTCCTGGTTTTAATTGCGTGCTCCAATAATTTCTGCATTAATAATTGTTTAACATTAAAATGCAGCATAGCAACTTACCATTTGGGTATGTGAACTATATAAATCTTAATTAAACAAATTTCAATCCAATGCATAAAGACTTTATACTATAATAAAACGTCTGTTTTTAATTGAAAAGTACATTTATTGAAGTTAATTAAAAATGAAATTACATATTCAAAATTTAATACAAGCAATTAATTACACATCTTGTGATTTTAATTCAGAAATAATATTCATTGATGACAAACTTTTGATAATTTTTAAATTAGTTATCATAAACAAGACTTAAAAATACTTAAAATAAATATCTCAAAACTGCTAATGATTAAAATTATTTAATTACAAGCAAATTAAATAAGTTATAAACCAATGTAAATTATGTAATTACTACTCAGCTTATATGGCATTGGCTGATTGGGGTATGGGGGTGGCCTAGAATCTATGATGGGGTCAATGAGAAATTGCCAGTTGGATCACAACCACAACCCCCTGCCCCCAGCATATGTGGTCCTGAATTGACAAATGAAAGAATAAGGTAGAAATTCTGAAAAAAAAAACAAGTGAGTACGGTAAATGTCTACGCACACTAACTTGGAAAATTTCAGTGAATACAATTCAACTATGCAAAGGAGGAGATCATTAATGACATAAGTTTTGAAGTATAATATTTAGCTACAAAAATCATTTTACAAATTTTATTACCCTTAAACACTTTTTCTTTTATAGAAAAATAGATTTATACAAATTAAGATTAGTTTTTCTTTAATTCTGTAAATCATGGACAAAGAATAATTCTGGAATCATCGAAAAATTCTAATGTACGCATCAGGTCAAATCAAGAAAAGCACAGTTAAGTATTTTCAAGTGGAATGATGAATTCGAAAAACGTTTGAAAAAAACGAAGGCAGTGACTATTTTTACACTAATTTAAAAATTATTCTAAATTATGATTGGAGGTTATTGTCCTAATCCAAACCATACACACAATAACATGCAATCAGAATTAGAATTTTATATAAGACAGCTGTAATAATAGCTACTGTTCTGGAAAAAGGTAGTTTTGTCTAGAATTTGGAAAGAAAAGAAAAGTACAGTAATCCTCAAATCTTTCTTGAAAAAAAAAAACATATACCACCATGGTATAAAAGTATTTTCAGATTGCAGAATGGTATTCCGTACTTTCTAATAAATCATTTAACCTATAGACTTCTTGAAAGATGGACATGCAAATATTATTTTAAACATCTACATTCAACACATGTACACTGACCTTTTTCATATTTAACTATATATCTGATTAACTCTATATTTTGAAGTGCATAGAAGCATTATCTAGTAATAGGCATAAATGTATTATTCATCATTATTATTTTATTAATTTACATTACATGATCAAGATCTGAAAATATTCAACTTTAAATATTATTTAAACATCCCATAATACGAAAGGAAAATCAAATTATTTCAATAATAACACCAATAATTATTACATTTGTAGAACACAACTGAATACAATTAAGTTCATGATTCGAGAAACAAAATATATATTCTTACCATCTTTAACAATAAATGGTTTTAAACAGCAGTATGACTGTGTTAATATAATACATTTAGAAATTTAATCAAAAATTTCAGTACAAAATGTTAGCAAATAAATGGTTAAAAATTCAATAGATAATCAAATATTACGATGATTAAATATCATGCAATCAAGATAGAGATATATCCACAAAATGTGTACTAGACTCCAATTGTCCAGGTAATGTGTAAAACCTTAGCCTTGGAAATCCAGAGTCTGCATCTGACATAAGCAAAAGTATTAAAGGCATTTCAACTCACAATGATACAAGTATTAAAGGCATTTTAACTCACAATAATTCATGTTGGCTATACAATTATAAAACTTAAATCATTTTTCTTTTGATCCCTTCAACCGTCGCCTTACAAATCGTTTTACACACAAATAACAAAATTCTACTTTACAACTCGGTTAAATCATCTTTTGTTGTAATGACAACACTGACGTTGCCTTGCTTAGCATCTTGGCCTTTCCTGCCACGGTCCTTCAGTGGCGCTACATGGTGCTTGGCTTCGCTGCTGCTCTGTGCCATAAAGATTGCTTGACCCATGAAAGTATCTTTAACAAGGTTGTGATTCCAAATCTATCAGGAATAAAAATTTATTTATTGAATTTTCCTTCAAGAAAAACTAAAATAATACATTTTATTGAAAGGTAATGAAATCAATCTGGAGACAGATTGCAGAACAGAAAAAATTGAAAAATATGTGGTTCTAAAAATTGCACTAGATGTTAAAATTCCACGGTAAGATTTACACAAGTTGAATTGCAACAAGTTACAAGAGGCTCAAAATATATGGTTTTACAGCCTCGAGTTCATCTGTACACTAATTCTTCAACTTTCACAAGGGACTAACAGCTTAAATGTCTCTCCAGAAGATGGTGCGCTGTTAAGCAATTAGTATTAGTTTCTCAGACAATATTTAAGAATTAGTGCCTGATTGAGACATTAGTGGAAAATATTGGCCTGTAGCTGTATTATAAGAAGAGTGATGAAAAGGAGCAGTGGAACATGATTCAAAGCAGTATCGCCATAAGTTACAAAAGCTCTTACCTCGACAATGATGGGTTTGTTGAGATTGGTTCGGTAGAATATGGCACTAAATTCCCACTCAGGATTCAGGCTGTTTTTTTTAACCTCTGACCTAACCTTGTGACCCTCACAGTTTATGTAGACATAAGGATCAGCACCTAAATAAATAAATAAATGATACTTTAATAATAGTCTTTGATTAATGAAATCATTTACAGTAAATTATTTTGATGCAAATAGTTTTAGTTCTTAATATTTTTATTTTGTTTTTATAGAATTAAAACATAAAACTGAACTTTAAACTTTTCAATCTGCTACTGTCTACATTATTATAGAGCGAAATCAGTAGTAATGTTTGTAGCAGTGTCATATCTAGGGGGCACTCCCTCCCCCCACCATTGAAAATGTCTGAAGCCAAAAATCACGCTCAAGTAGTCTGAAATCACTTTAATTTACAACCTAGCATCCCCTCACTTAATCATCAAGCCCCCCACCACCTTCATGCCCCCATCAGCTCCACCATTTCAACTGAAGAAACTACAGGTCTTCCTCCAATTAAACATCACTTTTGGAACTGGGATTTCCTTGGTCTTTAGCAGATTTGGTCTCTAATTACAATAATAAATATAAAGACATTGGTTAATTTGGGACCACAGAAGTGGTCATTAATTGGAGGTGGTCTTTAATTGGAGGGTTCTTTAATTAGAGGGAGACGTGTATTGCCAATTTTATATAAAGTGACAATACCCCCAAAATTAAATGGAACAGTCGGATTATGCAGGTAGTTTATGAAATAGACACTAATGATTCTTGGAGTAGAGTATTGCAATAAAACTGCAAATCAATGTTGAATGAGTGAATTCAATTAAGTTGACATGTAAGCCCAACTCTGAGAGCGTCGTACAATGCAAATGATCTTCAGGGACAATCTCATGCCGTTGTGAGCAATATTAACCATGTCTAATATTCTGTGACATGACTGTCCACAACACAAACCATCGCGTCTGCGTTTAACTGAAACAAACCCGATGCCACAACATATCACGTCAGGCTGCGATGTACAATGCTGTCTGAGTTGGCCTTTAATCATCTCCTATCTGTTGACCGCACTCAGATCATTGAAGAGAACTCTAACAAATACACTAAAGGAATACAAAAAAGTTCATCACCCACCACCACTCAGGTCTTGCTTTTCGAGATTACTGGCAGACAGCACTTGCACCGAGGTCACAGCTCTTGGGTACTTCTTCAGTGGGTTGGAACTTTTAGATGGAACTGACTTCACAAGCTCTCTAAAAAAGCAAAGTAATATTACATTGATTACTATGTGTATTAGAAGCTATTATCAGGTCTGTTCAGATAAAGTCCATTGTACACACAAATAGAGAGTTTTTGATCTGCTACGTAAGACGTAACAACGTTGTATTAATTTAACTGCATATGTCTCTAAGTTGTGCACTTCATTCTCTCCTGAAATCTGCAACAGTCGTTAGCCAAATCTATGTTCAGGCTAGAATGAGCATTGTACTCTACTGAACATTGGTTGTGTTTCAGCTAGTGGGTTGAAATGCAAGTTTCAATAGATTACAGCCTTTCAGATGAGATGTTTTGGCTGTTAGTCATGTGCAGTATATGGACGTTATGCACAAAGTAGTAGACTCTTTGGAACAGTGTAGGGGTTGTCTCACGGTGTACTGCCAAATTCATCACCAGAACTACACTGAAAATAAGTCTTCAGATTTTTGTGGGTTATCCTTGTCGTATTTCAGAAGTCCAAATTGAGTTTTCACCATCTATGTGGCATATCTAATGGGTGCGTGGGGAGTACGCTCCCCAGAAAGGTTCACCTTCCACCCCATTGAAAATGTTTGAAGAAAAAAAAAAAAAAAAAAAAAAAACCACGCTCAAGTAGAAGCAGTGGCGTATCTGGGGGAGGATGCCTTATTTTGCGTGCTAACACTCCCTCACTTAATCATTGATCCCCGCACCCCCCTCCATTTTCAAGACTCCCAGACACGCACTAGGTAGATGGTCAGAGCTATTACACCTCTATGCTTGGAACATATGCTGTCAAACATCCTTCTGGTTAACCAATATTTCAGTGGACCCTCTTCCCCTGTCCTTGTAACCACCAAAAATAATTTTTGGTCTTTCATGGGTTCAATTTTGTGTGTCTCAGGCACAACTACTGTAATCAATTATAATAAAAAAAAAATCTCACTTGAACTGGGATCCACCATCGCAGAAGAACCTGACCATGAAGGGACTATCTTCACCCGGAGCAAAAGTCGATGGTATCATAACGTAGCGCCCCCTTTTCATAGTCCTCTTCTCGAACACGCTCCTAGAGTTGATGAATGTCGAGGTGAAGGCTTTTGGTTTGATGCTACTAACCTTGTACTTACGATTTGCTTCAACCTGATAAATAATACAAGATATATTTTATTGTTTTTAAGGGGATTGAAATTTGCTATTTGGTAGACTATAAAAAGATTAACATGAATACAAAGCAGTTGACAGCCAAGGCAGTGCCTGGGTCGGGAAGGGGATTGAGGTATTGCCACTTGCATTTTGATAATTCAGATTGACTTGGGGCTATTATGCACTATCACCCCAATTCAGGTAACCCAGGATTGACTAGGAATGCAATGGACCAATTCTGCTAAGCCCTTCCACTTGGATATTGTTGTAAAGGACCCACAAAACAACAGTGTAAAAACATATATGGCAAAGACAAGCCAAACCAGTCACTCTTTGCAAAAATTAATTTTTAGTTATTATGACATCATTAAAGTTAGAGCTAAAATGGTAAAAGAATCATTTAAATCTGACATTTCCTTATGAATGTACAAGCATTTAAACATCAGCTGTTTAAAGAACAATATTTGTGAAATCAACCTTTAAAGTTTATTATTTTTGGCATTTCTCAGGCAGAAACTAAAAACAGAAACTGTTACCAAATCGTCAATATTTTTTTAATATTGAAAATGGCGAAAATAACAACATAGCATGATGCATACATAAATAAAGTTTAGTTTAGTACGATAAAATAGATTAAAAAATATTGACATTCCAGCATGTTTTGGAAATTATCTCTGAAACACTATTTGCGACAAGTGACTGGTTCGGCTTGTCTTTGCTACATATGTCGACACATGCGCTTGTGAGATATCACATATTTGTAGGACACGTGCGTGTTCCTAGCCTTGCTCTGATTGGTTAATTCTTAACTTTAATTGACACCCTGTGTCTGGAAAGGACTATTACTTTACAGTATTACAAGCCATAATTGTACACTAGATGTGTGGGCATTTTAGGAAATTTTTTAAGGGGTTTACTCTTAAATTTAACTAATTTGATCATACCAAAGCTTCATTTGGATTGGACCTTTTTTTTGTTCAAACTAACCATGTACCTGGTCGGTGTGCATAAAGCCCTGTCCAGACTATCAAAATATCCTATCATGACCATATATAGGCACATCATGACTATATATAAGTATGATGACATCACATCATGACCATATATAGGCACATCATGACTAAATATGGGCATACATCAGTTTCTAATCAAAGAAAATTTCATAGTCTGGAAAGAGCTTTAGGTTCTCCCAGTAAAATCAGAATAACCAGGTTGTTTTTAACTGGGTAGCTGAGACATGAAGAGACCCTTAAGGGAGAAGCAAGTTACTGTGCGAGCTAGTCCACACCTCAAGACTTCTGTATAAAACGCTACATAAATCTAACTACATTACATTACATTACACTTTTAGTCGTTCGAAAAAGTCCTGCTGTCAGAGGAATTGAACCCTGGATGCTAGGATTAGAAGGCAAGCAACTTAACCACTAAGCTATTCAACTCCATTCCTCATGTAAATCCATGTGAAGTGCGAACAGTTGTACAACTAACCAAGGCAAAATTAATCCCATGTGAACCCAGGTTCAGAGGTTACCTTCATGACGTGAAAGCCGATGGTCAAGTTAGCTTGCTGCTTGTCTGCTCGGACATCTGGCTGGGTGAGCTGAAGCATGACATCATCCTCGTCACTATCAATACTAATTAGAAACTACAAGAGTAGACAAACCTCAATTATTCCTTTTTTCAATATTGAATATTTTATTTAATTATTGCAATGTATTGTATGCAAGATCATAATCATGTTCACATCATGTACAGTACAATTTTTCTAACACCTTTTGTATTTTGGCTCAGTCCCTTTTAAGAAAATGAATTTGATTTTTGAATTTTGATAGGTGGTGTATTATTTTCTTGTTACTGCTGCATATTTCATTAATTTTCTCGCTAGTCTCTGTATTTATATGTACATTTTAATGACAAAATAAAGGAAATGAAAATTGATTTGCAACAGTTAAATAAACGTTTATGCACTAAAAAACAAAACAAAAATTAGAAATCAAGAAATTTGTTAGTGTAATTTAATAACCCTTTAATTCTAATAGTGTTTTTTTTTTTTAAACATTACTGTATGTTATCCTAATGTGAACATACAGTAATGTAAAAATCTTATACTATACATCCCATCTTGAAAGCATTGTGTTGAACATCATGTGAAAATCATGTGAATATCATGTGAACATAATGAGAATATCATGTGAACATAATCTGAATATCATGTGAACATAATGTGAATATCATGTGAACATAATGTGAATATCATGTGAACATAATGTGAATATCATGTGAACATAATCTGAATATCATGTGAACATAATGTGAATATCATGTGAACATAATCTGAATATCGTGTGAACATAATGTGAATATCGTGTGAACATAATGTGAATATCATGTGAACATAATGTGAATATCATGTGAACATAATCTGAATATCATGTGAACATAATGTGAATATCATGTGAACATAATGTGAATATCATGCGAACATAATGTGAATATCATGTGAACATAATGTGAATATCATGTGAACATAATGTGAATATCATGTGAACATAATGTGAATATCATGTGAACATAATGTGAATATCATGTGAACATAATGTGAATATCATGTGAACATAATCTGAATATCATGTAAAATGATGTGAACATCATAAGATCAAGTGAAAATCTTGTGAGTATAATATGAGCTTATGAAACTGAAAATCAGGCATTCTACTATATTTTGTATTGTTGTTTATTCTATAAATGACAGATTGCTTCTGTCAAATGTGAAATTATATAAAATAAATTATTAGGAATAAATGAAAAGATGATTACCTGGGGATTTTTAAGGAATGTTTCCTTGTTGTTAATGCAACCGCCAGCTGTTGGACCTTTCCATGCAGACAGGATAGTCTTCTCATGCCATGTACGATGTAGGGTTAGGTACTTCTTGTTGGGCATACGACATATGACAAGGTTGGTGAAATGTATCAAGAACTTATCATAGGGCATCCTATAACATTAAGAATCAGCATTAATATTTTGTCCAACCGTCATTATGCATATATTTTATTTCTTAGGCTTTCACTTTCTTTTCTATAACAATTACATTTTTTTATGGACATTGCTCATAATATGTATTCATCCATTTGCTGGCTGTCGATCATTCTTGTCCAAATTTATTTAAATAATTTATTTACTACTGTAACTACTTTCATTATTATATTTTGTTCTTATTATTTACTTGACTATAATCTTTTCATTTTATTATTATTAAGTTCTTTCTAATAATAATAAATAAATACAAAATATATAATAAAAAAAAATTTATAATTATAAAATATATTTCAAAATACAAATCTTTACTTTTCTATTGCCTTACCAGAATTCTCCATCATCGTCGATGGTAACCCCCATTTCCTTTCTCTTGCTCTCACTTACTTTCTTCCATTCATCAGAGCTGTAATAAAAATTCATGTATATAATTATTCATAAAAAAGTAAATACATTCCTACAAAGAGACATATATTATAAGAAAACACAAATTTATATTTAGTTAAACCAAAAAGTTCACTAATTAATCTCAGAATATGATGATGCATAATTAATGTCAAAATATTGAATCCCGACACGATGGCGTGAATTTCGATACTTGGAGTATGTATTATACTATCTTACTATTAGTTAATGTGTCGATAAAATGATCCAGTAGCAGATGATGGGGAAAAAAAATTCACACCCTTATAAAGTTCTGACTACAAAAGTTCTAATTCATTTACTTCAAATTTCAATAAAACATTTGGAAGTAATGTTCTTACTTACAAGCACTGAAAACAACATTAAATGCTCTACTTAAACTACATAGTTAAAAACATTATTAAACTGATGATGATATAATTAATGTCAAAATATTGAATCCCAACACGATGGCATGCTATTCAATACTTGGAGCACAGTATGTAGTATAATTTCTTATTTGAGATTAATCAGTGGATGTTTTGGTTATTAAACTGTTATTTTTAAAAAATATAATAAATTGGATATGCGTCATCCTACCACTCCCATCCTCCACACACAATAAAACCAGCGAAAGTAGCGAAAGTCGTGCTAATGAAACACATAATAGACACTTAATGATACATATGACATTTTAATAAACTCACGAACCAAATCAACTGCAGTACATTTGACAAGATTGTTGAGCAGACAAAACAGACGAAAAATACAAAATATCTTTAAAAAGAGTCACACAAACAGATAAATTAACATACGCTATTATGCATATAAAAAGCACATACACACTTGAAAATGTATTTCTAGATTAATACATCTTTTCCTGAGCTGTTAAATCCTTGTTGGTACAGCTGCAGCAGTGCAACCCACATCATAATTTAAAAGAAAAGAACCTATATCTACATATGTATCTTCCATATGTAAACCCTATAAGACAAATATTCTTGTCCATTGAAGTGAACTTGTTGAATAAATATACTCACACACACACACACACTGAACAGAATTCCTCACTCACCTAGTAGGTATATTCAACAAAGAAAAATAAAGCACATGTCATCTGTAATCCAGATTATCAATATTTTTTAGACAATCAATTGTTACATGCCCATATATAGTCATGATGCGCCTATATATGGTCATGATGTGATGTCATCATGACCATACTTAGGCATGTCACATGTTTTTGTAAAGTAACATTTGATAGTCTTGACCCAGCTTTAGGATGATGAGCCTAGACAAAAAGGAGATTTTTTAACTTACCCATCACTCCATGGGCCGTTCCATTCTTTCTCGCCCCAAGGGTTACGCAGTCGCACCAGTTTGACCTTCTCCCTGTTGAAGAGGCTTAGTACTCCATGTTTACTTAGTTTGACATCTTTGACCCCGGTGATCCCATATGCATGACCTTTGACCAGTCCCTCATCAGTTTTTGCTTCCATTTCATCGGCAGACTGGATCTAGAAGATAGAAAAATGCAAGATTATAACGTGATAACAACTAGACCTGTCAGAGTTTCCTATGAAACCCTTGGTAAAATAATAAACTATTTGTAATAATGTAAATAGATATACGAAAACCAGGGAGGGGGAGCCCCAGCGGCCAGATCGGGAGCCCCACAGCCGAAGAATGCGAAAAATCACACCCCAGGGAGGTCGAGGGACCCATAGCTATAATAGTGATGGTTGGATCATAATCTTATTTAGGACTTTTGTTTCAAGAGATCTCAAAATATATGTTTTTAAAATTCTAAATTCAGCTAGAAATGTTAGGGATTCTTTAATGTCCCCTAATATAAAAAAAGTTGTTGCATTTTTTGGTACATTCTCTAGAGTTGTTTATAATTTGGAGAGGTCAATGGCATCTAGTTTAATCCACTGTACCACTGACACATCTAGATGTGTATAAGAGACAAGGTAATAAAGTTCTTGTGTATTGGTTTAATATTCATCCATAAATGTTTTCAACCAATAGGGCACAATGACCATTACTACATGTATGAAAAAATTTGTAACTAAAAAGGTGTTTGGAAAATCAAGTCTGCTTTACAAACTTTTGACAAATTTGACAACGTCAGCATCACAGACGTATGGACGAACACATTCACGCCATTGCAACGGTTCGTATTGCTTTACAGCATACAGTAGGAAAGGATAATAGGCTTTAGACTAAAGATTGTCATACAATAGTAATAGCAGTTATGTATATGTGGCAAAGACAAGAAAAACCAGTCACTCATCGCAAACATAAATACAGTAAAATGAGAGCTATAAAATGGTAAAAGAATATTTTCAATCTGACATTTCGTTATGAAGTTAAAAGAGTTTAAACATACAGCTGTTTAAAGAACAATATTTGAGAAATAGGCCTGTAAAGTTTATGATTTCAGGCATTTCTCAGGCAGAAACCATCACCAAATCATTAAAAAATTGTTGTTTTAACATTGAAAACAGCAGAGCAAGATTAATAGATATAAAGATTAGTTTAGTGAAATATATAGATTTCAAAAATTTTGACATTCCAGCATGTTTTGGTCATTATCTCTGAAACAGGATTTGCAACGAGTGACTGGTTTGTCTTGTCTTTGCCACATATAGTTACTACCTTTTATAATATCTACCTTGATAGAACAACTCATTAGAAAGTTGCGATGATAAGCTTTACGAAGCTCTGCCCAAAGCTCCTCCTTCTCCTCTTCACTGGCTTGAAATTTGGCATCACTAAGTTCGATGGACTGCGCAACGCCAGCAGTGAAGTCTGTAAGAGCATCTGCGGTGTTACCGCCATCAAGATTCTCATAACATCCATTTAATCTAAGAGTCGAAATATAAATTGAAAGGTATAATGATGATAAATAATGATAAAAATATGAATCAAACAATAAAAAACATGATATAAGATTAAAAATTTAATTATTTTATTACTGGTGGTACAATTTTTCCTTGCCATGCCTCTAAGCATGGCTAGTCCTTGCCTCAAGTAGTGGCCGTGCCAGAATTTTCCTGAAGGGGGACCCAAGGTTCCCAATGGGGAGGGGGCTGAGATCCCCGATGAGAAAAAGTGGCCGTTGTCGGGCGTCGTTAAAAAACCTTTCGAAAGTGGTCCAGGGGACGTAGCCTCCCAAAAATATGACAATTTAGGGGTTTCAAAGGCTTATTTAATCGATTTTAAATATTTACACAATACATGTAATTAAAAACTTTGTTTTTCTCCCTCTCAAATTGTGGTTTGCCTCCCAACGTGGCGGGGAGCAGTAGCCCCATAACCCCCGAGGTGCCACCACTGGCCTCAAGCCCAAGAAAAAAAAAGAATTTGATGTACAGGTCTCTCTCCAAATAAAAACCACATCTGGACCCAGAGTTTTCATGGTCTTTCGAAGAAGCTTTGGTCTTTACTTTAAAAAAATATATTTATATAAATAAAAGACATTCACTTGAGGCTGCAGAAAGGTGGTCTTTAATTGGAAGGGTCTATAATTGGAGGGGTCCTTAATTGGAGGGAGACCTGTATTTGTATTTTAACTATGTATAATCTGATGATTCCTTGATTAAAAGTGGTTAAAAAAAATTAGCTATTAAAGATTACTATTATGTCAAAAACACATAACAATAAATACAACATACAGGATTCTATAATATATGAGGTTTACCATCTCAGAAACCAGCATACTCTCGCTAAATTTTAGAAGAAAGTAATGTAATGTATATAAATTTGCTATAGCGCATAAACAAAGTCTCAAAGTAATTAGCATAAGATTGAATGTGGCAATATTGTATGTTTTAGTACAGAAAAGCTGTAATACTTTTATGCACAACTTTCGCAATACTAAAGCCACAATCGCACTGGACTTTTTTGGGTAAAACTAACCAACACGTTGGCTAGTTTTACCATAATTAGTCCAGTGCGAACAGCACAGGAAGTTTACCTGACAGGAAACTTACCCAAGCCGCGCGGTTAATT